GTGGGCCACTCTTGGCACTGCATGGACACACAGAGCTTTCCGTGTTGACACCTCTTGTCTGGGAGGAATCTTCCTCCGTATGGAATTTTGGGACTTGGACTGCCAATTCCTGCACAGGGCTCCTGCAAGAGAACGACTGCATTTCCACCCTGGAAAGAAAGCCCTTACCCTCTGTGTCTCATGTGCAGTTGGTGGGCCAGCCTGGGCACTCCATGGGCAGCAAGAGCTTTCTGCTGTGGCATCTTCTGTCTGGGAGGAATCTTCCTCTGCATGCAGTCTTGGGAGTTGGACTGCCAATTCCAGAGCATTGTTCCTGCAAGCGAACGACAGTGTTTCCAACCAGGAAAGAAAGCCCTTACCCTCCATCTCTCATGTGCAGTGTGTGGGCCACTCTTGGCACTCCATGGACTCACAGAGCTTTCTGTGCTGGCACCTTTCATCTGGGAGGAATCTTCCTCCGTATTCAGTTGTGGGAGTCAGAACGGAAATTTCAGCACAGCTTGTGCTGGAGCAATCCTTGGGAGACATATGGTCCATCATGGAGGTCCAAATTCCTGCTTGCCCCCACCTTTCCTCTCCAAACAGAGTTCACTGGCCATGAACCCACTCTGACCCCCACCATCACTTCCACCATCAGTCATTTCAGCCTGATCTGATGAAGGGAAAGATGTGCAATTACACATCTACATTTAGATGCAGTTTAATTAAAACAATGTGAAAGAGAGAAATGGATAAACTCCACCACCACCCCCTCCCTCCAGGGCTAGTCCCCCAACAGGATGTTCATCTGTTCTCACCACTGACTTCTGCTCACCCTGACCCCTCCCAAACCACCTCAGAGCTGGGAGCTTTTGGGCCCAATACCACACCACTGGGCACAAGGCAGGCAGCAAACCTCATTATCCCATTTTTTTTGTGGGATGTGCTCCCCCCTTTCCCCAGGCATTGCTGCTCTGCCCCAGGACTCATGGAAAGCCAAGTTACTTGCCCTGTGTCTCGGTGCTGACATCCCACCCTGCCCACCTGCCCTCAGGGGTTTCTCTGCTCAGCACCTCAGAATTAAGAGGATTTGCCTAAATGCCAGCAAAATTTTTATAGGGTTTACAAATTAAGGTTTTTGTAGAGCAAAAATGCAAAATAATGATTGAGCCCACCTGCTTGTGTGGTGTGGATCCCACTAGTCCCACTGCTGGTGCCTCTGGCTCCCTGGGTGTGGACATGGCACTCTGTGGTGGGTTGGGATCCACCTCTTTGGAGGTTAACTCCTAATCCCAGAAAGCTTCAGCACTGGCAGCAAAATGGTTTTGGAGAAAGGGGAGGTTATTCCTAGCCTTTTATTCTGCTCTTTCAAGATACAACTCATGGAAATATTTCCATGCACAGCCCAGCAAAGGGCAGAGTCACTGTGACTCCAGCCTCTTCCATGGAATATTCCCAGCATTCCTGGTTATGTAGCAAAACCCCGAAGCTCTCCCAGGCCAGAGTGAGCTCATCTCAGAGTGGTTTTTCATCAAGGGAATTCTCAGTAACTTGGATGTTGTTGAGGTTGGTTTTGTGGCTCCTGGGAGAAAGCACCTGCAGCTGGGGAAGTGTCCATGCATGGAGCATCCCACCAGGACAGACCTGGCTGCTGCTGCTGGGAGCCAGAGGGGCTGTGGGCAGCCATCACAATGCTGCTGGTTTTCAGCTGATAACTCACACTGATTTGCATAGTCGTCAGCCCCAGGCTGACAGGAAGGAAGATCAGCGAGACCCACAGTGCAGGAAGGAGCGAGGAAAGAACGGAAAGAGAAAAAAGCCACTGGGCTGGAACTGGCAGAGGGTGGTGGGGAACCCAGACCCACCTTCCCCGGGTGCTGCCCCAAGCACTGCCCCGGCCACCGGGTCCCACCGGCTCCACGTGTCCCCCAGGGACCATCAGCTGGAGGGGCTTCCATCTTCTACCTTGGCCTTGAGCATCCCCTGAGGAGGAAGCAAAGTTTGGAGGATAAAAAGCAGAGCAGGGCACGGAGGGGCTGCATCCTCCTGCTGCCACGAGGATGCCCTTCCCATGCTCCTGCTCCCACATGGAGCTGGGGAAGGCAGCACAAGGCCAAGGTAAGGTTTTGGGAGGGCTTTGGAGGGGTATGGGGAGAGTGAGAGCAGGGGAAGGCAGCACAAGGCCAAGGTAAGGTTTTGGGAGGGCTTTGGAGGGATATGGGGAGAAGGGGAGGTGTCACTTGGTTCTCTCGTGTAGGGGGACAAGAGCTCTTGCTGTGATAGCCACGTGAAATGGACTCACTGGGCCAACATGGCAGGGCCAGGAGCTGTTTGGGGAAAGGTTTCTGGGATGGGCAACATATGGTTAACTGCCAGCAGCACCCAGTAGGGCAGCCTGGCATGGCATGGCCACGGGTGCTTGGCAGGAGCAGGTGGAGACCTGTGGCATGGTGCAAAATTGCACCAAAGAGCGAGGCAGGGTCTAGGAGCAGGTTGGGGAGCTGGAGCTCAGTGGGGACACATGGCCCTGCACCCAGGTTGGCACAGAGCCTGGGCATGCTGGGCTGCCTCAGGGCATTAGGCTTAATCCTGCTGTTATTTGAGCACTCAGAAGTTGTTACAGGCACTGCATACCCCATAAATACAGAACTGCTGGAGAGAGGACCAGCTGGAGCATGGGCTGGGTGCTGTCACCCACTGGGATGTCACAAGCACCAGGGCTTTGGCCCAGCACATGGAAGGGTTTGCCAAGGCCAGCCATGATTTGTTCAGAGCCTGGGAACAGCTGGCACAAAAACTGCCCACGTTGCATGAAAATTTCTTTCTGAGGCTGCTTTTGGGGATGCTCTGTAACCCAGAAAGCTGGGGCTGACCCTGAGCAGTAAAGCCCAGAGGGTGCTGAGGCAGGTACCACATCTGTCAGCCTCCCTGCAGCCCCAGGGTCAGCAGCTGGGATGGGGGCAGGCTGGCAGCAGCCTCTTCCCAATTTTCACGATGACATCCTGAGATCCTGTGGGCGAGAAGGGCAGAAGCTGTTTGCTGGGAGGATCAGCTTTTCAATCAGCTGTGTGTCTATCCAAGGAATAACGTTCAAGGGGCACAGCCAGCTCAGTAAATGCGTCATCCTTCATTCTGCAGCTTGTGAGGTGCAGCAGTGCCCTGCAAGGGACCTCCTCTCTGAAATTAGCTTTTTAGTTGCTTGGAATCACCCGTAGATGGATTTTTTGCTTTTTCTTCTGGTGAGATTTGAGGTTGGCACTGCTGACATCCAGCCCAGGGGCCCTTCACAGCTCCTCACCTCCACGACTCACCATTTAACCCCTGCTGTGTCTGGGCCCTGTTACTGGGGTTGGGGTTCAGGGAAACAAAAATCAAACCTTGCAGAGGTTAGATTTGACATAAAACAGATTTAGCAACGAATTTTGCTGGCATTGAATCCAGACCAAAAAAACTGAGGCTGCATCTGAAAGTCATATATAAACCTAGATAACCAAGTTACCTGCAAGTCTGCAAGTGTCATAGTTGGGTATAATGCTGAAGATACTTTATTGCTTCATTTAATTCATAGAAATTAATGATGTGAAATCTCTTCGATTCTGCCAAAAGGTGGCAGCCTGCATCCTGGCATCAGGATTTGCTCTGCTCAGAAGGAATGGCTGGAGATGCTGGCTTGGGAAGTGTTTTCATGTATCTCACTGACCTCTGAAATGGGATCAGTTCAGGGTGGATATGTGGCAGCAAAAATAAATAAAAGCTCTGAAGGTATGTTGGTAAAGGACTCTGAGATTCGCTGGAGGAAATCCACTGTACCAGGAAGTGGTGGAAAGGTCTGGCAGGGCTGGTTTCTCTCCATCCCTGAGTCTGGAGGAGGCAGAGCAGTGCTGAGAAGGGGCTGTGCTGCCGAGGCTCCTGTCACCCCAAACTGGAGAGCTTTGCTGCACAGGCAAACCCTGCAGTGATGGGTCAGGAGAAGGCAACAGCCAGAGTGAGGTTTCGTGTGTGTTTGGGGCACAGAGCTGAACTGGAGTGGGTGCTTCCCTGCTCCTGCAGGTGCCGGTTAATGGTGCGATTTTTAGCTCATATAAAAAGCTTTTAAGCTTATTTCAGTACTGTAGATCTGCCCATTTTCTGATATTTTCTCTATGTGGGTCCCTGCAGCCATCCAGAGGCTCCTGCCCAGCACTTTGGTGCCTGTCTAGTCTTGACACTGCTCAGCCCTTCCCCAGCCCACTGCAGCAGGTCAGGTCTTCCAGGCTCTGTGAGCTGGTGCTTGAGGTGCCAACCACTGTCTCCTGATGCTGCAGGTGAATCTGCTTACGAGTCCCTGGGAGGTGTCAACCACAGATTTCCGACTGCTGGGTGTCACAGCCTGATGCAGTCCAGGTGCTGCTGGCAGCTGCTGTGACAGCTCCTGGCATGGCATGGTCCTGAGTCCTCAGCAGATTCCCACAGGACAGAATGATGGATCTGTCTGAGGGGAATGTCTGGAGGAA